AGAAAGCTTATATTGAAAATATCTTAATAAAATTTGAAATGGAAAATTGCAAAACTAAATCAACACCTTTAGATGTGAATATTGATTTTTCACAATATGAAAACTCCAAGAAATGTGATCCAAAAAAATGCCAAGAAATCATAGGAAATTTGCAGTTTCTAAGTGTAAAAACAAGACCTGACCTATCTCTTCCTCTGACACAGCTTTCAAAATATTCACAGGATCCAAGAGAAATTCATTTTAATGCATTAAAAGGAATTTTTGGATACTTGAAAAAACTATTAACTTTGCTTTATGTTACAATAAAGGTAATACCCAACTTAGAAGTTATTCTGATGGAAATTGGAAAGATGGTAAGTACAAAAAGAAATCAGTTACTGGATATTTGTTTACTGTTGGAGACAATTTGATATCTTGTGTGGAACTCTAAATTTCAAGCACAGCCTTCACTTTCTACTTGTGATAGTGAATTACAAGCATTGTTAAGTTGCTATAAGAAGTCAATCCATTTACAATACATTATTGAGGAACTATTTCAATTAGAAAATGGCTATCAACCCACTAAAATATACTGTGACAATATTTCAGCTATAAAACTTTGTACAAATTTTAATATATCTGCCAATTCAGCACATATGATCAGAACTATTTCTTACTTACATGAACAAATAATTTCAAATAATTTCATTTTAGAATATATACAATCTGAAAATAATCTTTCTGATTTTTTAACTAAAGCTTTACCTAAATATTAGTTGTCTAATGCTCTAGAATGTTTGGGATTTTGACGACTTTGAAATGTGTTTTTAGCTTAAAAATGTTTAAAGTCTTGATATATATTTAAACAGTACAATTTGAGTGATAATATTGCCATATTGTTTTTATAATTCAAAGGGACTAATATAAATATGTAATGTTATATATTTCTTATATATTTAATTTAGTGAACAAATAAAATGGCGGTTGATTTAATTAGCTGTAACATTCCCTGGACTTGTCCCGCCATCTCTCGGAGGCTATTGAAACTGTTTTGAAATATGTATATAATTTGATAATCGATCATCATTTTTGTGTCATTTACTGGGGGCAATTGTGAATATATATATAAATATATAAATGACCAAAAATGATTTAACAACTCTGTATTTTGTTCTTCTAACTCGTAACTTGTAAACAAGAAGTTTATAATATTTTTTGTTCTTTCCTGTTTTTAAATTGGATCTTAAATAAAATAATGATATAAAAATGGATTATATTTTTTATCTCAACCCAAATTAACACAAAATGTCCATCAACTATTGGCTAGTTGCCAACATCTGTCCCCCTCCTCCCCTCCTCCCAGATTCCATTTTTGTGACTCATATGCCCAAGTACGGTCATTTGTTTATCTTCTGTTTCCTTGACGTAGAGTGCTCTTCTCTCTTTTTTGTTCTTCATTCACTCACTCAAAAAATGGATCCCAACATGCCCAGTACCTCATGAATTGATTTATTCAATGTTCCTGAGGCAGATAAAGAGTTTGAGGATTTTTTCTTAGCAGATTCTGGGTCTGAACTAGATGATTCTATTGAAGATCCTCAATTTACTTTGGAAGGTCTAGAATCTGATACGACTGAAATTTATTATGAAGAAAGTGAGGAAGAGGTAACTATTTTTATTTTTCTTTCATCCTATTCATATATTTCACCTTTTTTTAGCAAATAAGACAATCTACCCCTGAAGATGAAGGATGGACAGAGGTAAGATTATCTTTTGAAAAGCCTACATTTTCTGGAACCTATGGATCAAAAGCAGCCTTTTTCCTGGAACTCTCTCTCCATTTTCAGTATTCAAGCAGTTTTTTTATGAAGAATTATTCAGAACAATAAAGTTAGAAACTAACAAATATGCAAGGAAGGTGATTGATAAAGAGAGAAAGAAAGGCCCTCGGGAAAACTTTTTCTATTGCTGAATTGAAGATATTATTGTCAATAATCATTCAAAGGAGCCTTATAGTAAAACCAAGGCTAAGAGAATATTGATCAAACCACATTGGAATGAGAACAGCTTTTTGCAAATCGACAGGAATGGCAAGGGAAAGATTTGAAGCAATTTTATCAATGCTCCATCTGAATGATAATATGTTATACATTCCAATGGACAACCAGGATATGATCCAATTTACAAGATAAGAACCTTATTTGATTCCATTGTCAATAAATTCAGAACCTGCTACTCGCCTGATGAAAAATTGACAATTGATGAGGCCATTTGTCCATTTTGTGGACAGGTTCATTTCTGAGTATATATAAAGGGCAAACCTCATAAATATGGGATCAAGATTTATGAGATTTGTGAATCAAGTACAGGGTATACCTGTAACCTGGATATATATACTGGAAAGCATCCTCATCAAGAACTTCAATATAATTCTATATTGAGCTTAGTTAAGAGGATTGCTGAACCTTACTACCAGAAAGGCCACATCATCTATTTCGATAGATGGTTTTCCTCTCCCCAACTTTCCAATCATTTATGCTAAAAGAAAACACATGCAGTAGGAAGAGTCAGGCATAACAGAAAGGGATTGCCAAAAAATCTTCCACGAAAAAAACTGAAAAAAGGTGAAAGCCTCTTTTGTCAAAACAGACAGCTTCTCACATTGAAATGGCGTGACACCAGGGATGTCTCTATGATATCAACAATCCAAGATTCCATTATGATCCAGGCTCAAAAGAAAATAAGAAGTCAGCCTCAAACTCTTTCGATAAACAAACCTGCTATTATAGTTGACTACAATAAAAACAAGGCTGGTGTCGATAGAAGTGATATAAAGTGATGGAAAAGGCTTTTCTTCCACATTTTTGGTCTCATGATTGTCTATAGCCATATTATAAATGATAAATTGACCACGGGTCGAAAAATGCCACTTAGAGAATATCATTTGGCTATCATGGAAAGGTTGATGGAAGAAGCAGGTACAGAAATTTTGGATGAACAGCCAAGTGCATCTGGATCATCAAGGCTGATTGGAAACATTTACTCACCAAAATTCCTGCTACTGGCACAGCCACCATCCAGAGAAGGGGCAAAGTTTGCTCTGATAAAGAAAAAGAGCATCTGGTAAAAGAGTGAGGAAGGACACCAGCTATATGTGCGAGACCTGTCTGGTTCCTTTATGCATCGTTGTTGGTTTTAAGGCCTTCCACACAAAAGAGAGGTACTGGGAGTGATTTATATTAAAGTTTGATTCCTCTTCGATCTTTTCCTCAAAAAAAAAATTTTCATCATGTATATTATTTTTATATACAGTAAAACCCCTTTATGGTGAACCCAATGGGACAGAGCTTTTGGTTCACTATAGCCACGGTTCACTATAGCTAGTTTGGCCATTTTTTTTAACTTTTCAAAATTTTTAGACCGTATAATTAAAAAAAAGCCATACAAACAGGAAAAGGCAGCCACTTAATAATGGCCACTTTGTTTTAATTCCCTAAATTGACCTATTTATTTACAGTAATGCTGAATATCAAAAGAAGTCATTTTTGTTAATAGGTTCTTCTTATCATTAGCATACATGTTTATATATAAACCTATGTATATTTAAAAATTAAGCCAAATCCCCTTGGCAAAACATTATTAATTATATATTTAAAAAGTATAAGAGAACATTATAGTATTAATAGTATTTTAGAACATCTTTCTCAAATAATATAATATTAAATTGAGTTGAAAAAATGCCTCTAATACCTTGTTGTTTGAAAGTGAAAAGTAAAATTTGATAATCAGAATTGCCTTAAAATATTATTTCCATCAAGGGAATAAAGCTCAGTGTATTCTGAATCAATTAAAGATGAATCAAAAGTATCCAATTCAGAAAAATTGGACGTGAAACATGTTGGTACGATAGCGCGATCGGTAAAATTGCGAATAAAAAACGCCAATTTGCAAACACAAAATCGGTGGTAAAACGGCCGGCCAGCGGGAATATCGGCGAACCCTGAATGAGTCATATACCTAATAAGAATTCCATTCTAAAAATAGAACTGTAGTGGTAGTTTTTGGGAATTTATAAGTCGATTTGTTTGTAGCCAATGAGACATGGGGAGAACTTGGGGGAACTTTTTTTTTTCCTGGTTCTTCGAATTCCAGTTTCCACATATTCTTCTGAAGTGTATATTAAATTTTGTTTTTAACCTGTAATTCTAACCAGTTCTGGCTTTAAAATTATTTGTAATTTTTATTTAGCCTAGTCAAACATGATATAGAACGCTTCAAAAAGGGGGAATGCTGCCACTGTTTTTTTTTTTTTTAGAACGCCCTTCTTTATTTATTTTCTTTATTTTGGAAGACATTTGTATTTTTCTTCTATTTCAAAATTGTCGAATGCAAAGATATTCTATTAAATTAAAGTATAATGTGTAAAAATTTATACAACATAGAGCAAAAATAGAATGGAAATGAAAACAAACAAGGCCGCTAATTTTTTAATTTTGAAATCGCGATCCGTGAGCTGAAACATGCTCGAAAATTTGTTGTTTTAATTTTTTTTTAAATCACAATTTCAAGTTCGTTATAAGCATAGTATTTTTAATAGATTTTATCATTTTGGAACCGAAAATAGGTTCTTTATAGGGGTAGTTCTTTATTTGAAAAATCGCAAAGTTCGTTATAACGATGGTATTTTCAATGGAATGGAATTGGAAATCGCCGTGGGTTCGTTATAAGGGAAGGTTCGCTATATCCAGGGTTAGTATTAGCGGGGTTTTACTGTATTTGATTTATGAAGTGGATTTGGCCCATTTGTATTTTTTATCTCTCTTTTATGTACATACTAGATGAATGGCCCGGGCAACGCCCGGGTTTTACCCGAGTGCGTATATATTTTTAAAATGTTTTAATTAAAATACTATTCGTTACAATTATAAATTGGCGCCGTGGATGTCTCTTTTGTGAAACGTCCCGCCCCAAACTGTGTGTGTCTTGAAAATATAAAAATAAAAATGTGAACGGAAAAATATGTCCAGGGTAGCCTAGTGGTCATGGCATCTGCCCGGTAAGCGGAAGGTCGTGGGTTCGAGATTCCCATCCCTTGACCCTTTTTTTATTTTATCCATTCTGACCAAAATCTATCCGTGAGCTTCACACAGTGAACTTCACACAGACAGAATAAGGCAATTATATAAGTAGATAATCCAAATTGGGCCTTATCACACACTATTTTTTTATTTGGCCTTATTACCTTGTGTTTATAATCTATAACGTAATGCCGGCGGCGCGTGCCCGTTGGCTGCCGGCAAGCACGTGACCTCCCTGTGCGCGCGCATCCGTGACAGAGGCGGCCGATGAGGAATGAGGCAAGAAGGTCGTGACTATATATAGGGATGATAATAATAATATAATAATAATAATTATTAATTATTATTATCATTAGATAATGATAATGATCATAATGATGATGCGCGCATCCGTGACTAAGGCCGATGAGGAAAGACGGTCGTGACTATATATGTTGACTAGCCAAATGATCCGGGCAACGCCCGTGTTTTACCCGATTGAATGTTTTTATTTAAATACTATTTGTTACAATTATAAATTGGAGCCGTGGATGTCACTCTTGTGAAACGTCCCGCTCCAAACTTTACATGTACATTAGGTCAGCTGGTATTACCCCTCATTTTCACCGCTAGAGACGCGAGCGAATTGACTTTTTGTAAATATACATAATTATAAAGATAGAAGCTTCTATAGAAGATAATGATCATAATGATGATGCGCGCGCATCCGTGACAGCGATGAGGAATTGAGGAAAGACGGTCGTGACTATATATGTTGATAATAAAATAATATAGTAATTATTATTATTATCATTAGATAATGATAATGATCATAATGATGATGCGCGCGCATCCGTGACAGCGATGAGGAATTGAGGAAAGACGGTCGTGACTATATATGTTGATAATGAAATAATATAATTATTATTATTATTATCATTAGATAATGATAATGATCGTAATGATGATGTGCGCGCATCCGTGACAGCGATGAGGAATTGAGGAAAGACGGTCATGACTATATATGTTGATAATAATAATAATATAATAATAATAATAATTATCATTAGATAATGATAATGATCATAATGATGATGCACGCGCATCCGTGACTGAGGCCGATGAGGAAAGACAGTCGTGACTATATATATTAATCTCTTATAATTATCATGTATAAATATTCTTAAATTTACATTTAACAATAATTTTGAAGTGTATTTAATTGGTCCTCATTAAATTATTTTATAAATATCGAGTTCTTAATGATTTATGAATTTTTAAAAAACACTCAAAACTTGAACGTCCCGGGAGATTAGGTATACCTGTAATTACGACCTTCAAGTGATAATTGCGAAACTCATGGAGGTGGAAATTCTTTTGTCTAGGTTTTCTATTATTTAATTTTTTTTTTTTTTGAAGGACACAAAGTCAATTTTTTTTCACATTTGGTTATCTCATTGTTTTAAGGACGGTCTATTCCAAAGTGCATGGATTGCTAGGCCGTAAGAAAAAAAGTTACTTTATACAAATTTTTAATTAAAAAAATTGTTTGAAAAATGAAATTTTCTTTTTGATATAATCTATGGAATTTGAAATGAAAATTAAATGTTACAAATTATATAAATATAGTGTTATTTTTTTATTTTTCTCAATTTTCATTGAGATCATACAAAATACAGTAAAACCCCGCTAATACGAACCTTCCCTTATAACGAACCCACGCCGATTCCCAATTCCATTCCATTGAAAATACCATCGTTATAACGAACTTTGCGATTTTTAGAATAACGAACTACCCCTATAACGAACATATTTTCGGTCCCAAAATAATAAAATCTATTTAAAATACTATGCTTATAACGAACTTAGAATTGTAATTAAAAAAAAATATTAAAAAACCAAAATTTAAGCATGTTTCAGCTCGCGGATCGCGATTTCAAAACAATAAATTTAGCGGCATTGTTTGTTTTGAATTTTGCACTTTATTTTTGCTGTATGTTGTATAAATTTTAACACATTATGCTTTTTATTAAAAAGAATATATTTGGATCCATTAAATTTGAAATATAAAAATACAAATGGCTTCCAAAATGAAGAAAACAAAAGCGTTATATCTTAAAAAAAAAAAAGGCCATTTTCAGAACTTTTCAAAGTGAAACAACACAGACAAAATGTTAAGAACATATTAAAATAAGAGAATATAACTTTTCTATTATAAAAGATGAAATATAAAGCTATTAAAATTTGTTACAAAGAGGAATCAACCTCAACTTTTGCCGCGATCGCGATCGTACGTTTCAGGGCTAAAAAAAAAATCCAAATAAATGGTCCCGTGATGAAACAAAAACTATTTTTATTACATTAATTATGGTGATTTTAAAGTCAGCAATGTTTTGCATGACAGGTTAAAAAAAAACGAAATCTAGACCTTGAAGAATATGTGGGAAAATGAAATGGAAGAAAACACTAACTTTATTTGAATGGTGCAATGCTTGAAGAATGCTTTGAAGCAACAAGGTGTTAGAACAAGTAAACAATGTATTATATAATGTGATAATGATGTTTTAAAATCATTTTATATCTTTGAATATATATTTAATAAAACTTTGCCTCGGATTTGTCTTGATTTTTAAATTAGACATAGAGGTACATGTATGCTAATTGACAAGAAGAACCTATCATCTAATGATTTCTATTATTATTCAGTATTAATGTAAGGAAATTGGTCAATTAAGGGAATTAAAACAAAGTGACCAATATTAAGAGGAAGCCTCTTCTTGTGTGTATGGCTGTCCTTTAATTATACGGTCTAAAATATTTGAAAAGTAAAAAAAAATAGCCAAACCGTGGCTATAGTGAACGGTAGCTATAGTGAACCAAAAGCTCTGTCCCATTGGGGTTCACTATAGAGGGGTTTTACTGTACTAATTTGTCGTATTTTATTTTTCAATATTCTGTGTGAAAGCTAGATTTTGAATAGGAACTAACCGGTAGCTGGTTGCAGGCTAATTAACTTAAAAAGGTTTTGTTTGGTATTCCTATTTTTTTTATTTTCTTGCTAAATGCAATAAATAATTCTTTTGTTGCTTTAAAGAGAGTTGTAATTATTTAAAATACTACAATTTATCGTAGCAGAGGGTGGTTCAATTTAAAACTTGAGAAAAAGCGAAAGTATTTTATCAGAAGTTTGATACGTTTATTCTAATCGGTAAACAAAGATCTCTTCTGCATCAACGTATGTAAATTTTGAAATATATTTCAATAGAATTTGAATTATATTGATAAAAAGAGTTTTAAATAGAAGGATTAAAAAAAAAACATTTTTGAATTATAAACTACCTTTAAACTATATTGTTTAATTTTTAAAAGTTGAAAAACAAGGCTAAAATGGATTGCAATTTTTCGCCAACGACAAAAATTGAACCTTTAACAGGAAGAAATTATCAGATTTGGGCTTTAAAAGTCGGAGCACTTTTACGTGGAAAGAAATTATTTAAAGCGTAATTTCGGATCCTGAGCCTGATATAAAAGATGAAGTCGCTTGGCAAATATGGAGTGAAAAGAATGACGAAGCCTTTGGAATTATAGTTATAACTCTATCAGATGAACAAGCAGGAATGTTTCTAGATGAAACTAAAGCAAAGAAAGTATGGGATGAATTAAATAAAATCTACACTGGCAACCTAGAAGATAAGATCATTGATATTTAACTTGAACTTAAGAATATCAAGATGAAAAATAATGAATCCATAAATGAATATATGGCTAGAGCCAAAAATATTGCCTCTCAAAGTTCTTCACTCGGACACCAAATATCCCAAAGAGAACTAGCGTTTCATATTGTGCGAGGTATCCATCCAAGATTGGAAAAGATCGCTGTTGTACTGATAACTAAAAGAGTATTAACTCTTGATGAAATTCGGCAGTCACTTAGAGAGGAAGAGAATCGAATGAATTCTAAGATGAATGGGAGTCATTCTGATGAAAATGAACAGGCTTACAGAAGTAAAGACAGAAGAAATCACTATCAACAGAATCGACAAGAGGAGTGTTTTGATTGCCATAAAAAATGACATTTAGCTAAAGATTGCTGGTTCAAAAGTAAGCGAACTCAAGAACAACATGGGAGAAGATATGAAAATTCAAATACGAACTACTTTGTATAACAAACAAAATTTCAGAAATAATGCGAATTCCGTCTCAAGCAAGCCTGCGGAACAAACTTTCAATACCAGCACAGATCGAGTTTTTGAAAACTCCTCAAATAATTATAGTCAGATACAAACCTGGTGTCTTGACTCAGGGTGTACTACGCACTTATCCCCACACTTGGACTGGATGGAAAATGTAATGCCTTATGAAAGTGAGTTAAATTTGGCGGAAGAAGGTAAAGTTACACATGCTACAGCTGAAGGTGATATCAAGGTTTCTACTTGTACTGAAAACGGAATTGAGAATGTTCAAATTAAAGGAGTACTGCATGTACCTAACTTAAGGTCAATTCTTTTATCAATATACGAATTAACTAACAAAGGAAATACTGTAATTTTCAATAGAGATGAAGCAAAGATTTACAATGAACAGGATGATTTAATTGCAGAGGCTCAAATCCAGGATAGGATGTATGTAATGGAAACAAGGTCCAGAGATGAATACTCGGAAAAGATGGAGAATGTCATGACCAAAAAAGATATTTTCTCAAATGACAATATCAGCTTGTGGCATAGAAGACTGAATCATTTGAACGAAGCGTACATGAAGGAGATAATTCAACGGAATGTGGTATTGGGGTTTAATGTTAAATTTAAGAACTTGCCAGAATGTGAAGCTTGTATAATGGGGAAATTGACTCGACAACCTCACCATCCCGTTACCACCAACTGTACAACCAAACCCCTTGAATTGGTTCATAAGGATTTATGTGGTCCAATGCCATACCAATCTCTAGGTGGATCAAAATACCTTTTTGTTCTGGTTGATGACTTCAGCCGAAGAACCTTTATCTACTTTCTGAAAAACAAAGATGAAACTTTGGGGAAGT